ACTGTTTGGGTGAAATACTCGATGTTATAGATAAACAATTATGCACCAAGCGTATTGCACCTGACGAATCTATGAAACATAGTTGCACGCCAGATATGCAGTATGGGTGTAGTTTCGTGGTCAGCATGTCTACTACGTACAGGACTCACTTATAAATCTGTTCGGAAAACCATCTTTTTCGTTGGTACCGCTCATTTACTGCGCGATGATCGATGAACTGTCGACAAGAGGATAAACTCATCCTACCCAGTGAAACTTGCTTTCTCTCCCGCTCACTGCACGCCCTGCATGCTTATCGTTAGACGGTGAGCAATTTGTTATATAAAGAAATGGTGGCGTAACCAAAATAATCAGCTCACCAATGTTTATGCCGTGAAGATACGCTAGTCCTTTAGTTGCTTGAAGCAGAATATCCATTTCAGAAAGGGGACAGTATTCCCGGACTTTCTCATTTTCCACATAATCAGATAATGAATAATCACACAGCTCCAGTGCAATATACCGGAAATTGCTATCTGATTCCTAGAAATCATTGACCATATAAAGAACATCATTAGAGAACGACCCATTAAAAAATTTCCCAAAAAAAGTGAAAAACGACCCATGATATTCTTGCTCCTTGAAAAGTAGAAAATAACCTTTTGGAGGATCACTAAAAAAGCAACAGAGTTTGAAATTAAGCTTGCAAAACGAGACCGACCATGCAAAAATATCTGATGACATTTGGATGAGCATCACTTTCGCGCAACAGATCTACTTCTCGATCAGCAAGTCGAATATCTGCGATTACTCGTTTCACAGCTACCTCACGATCATCAAACCTACCTCTGAAAAGCTGCTAAGTAAAAATAAACATACCACTTTTATAAAAAGTTAGCTGTTTTTTTTACAACTCACTGCTTCCCAGATTCCATATTTTCCACAAGCTTTCGTAAAAATTGAAAAAAAAATCGCTAAAAATCACAAGTGTTATTTTTAATTTTGAGTCTAATGATCACAAAATTCAAAATATCCCACTTCCTCTCGGAACGGCTAAAAATTTAAGTCCTATGGAGCGGAAGATATACTAAAAGCCGACACTTAGGACAAATCATACATATCCCCAGACATGCAACGAAGTCAACTTTGAATGAATCTGATGGAAAACAATTCTAGCCTGAAAACAACGGTTCCTTCGCAGCCATGTCCTAGACGATCCTCTGGATTATACATCATATTCCCAACTTGAAGCCATCCCGGTGGTAACTGATGCGTTGGTCGTGTTCGCCAAAATATCTCTAAACTTTTCGATGTTTGCGCAGATTTTGCTTCCCATTCCAGCATACAGTTCTGTTCGTGCCGATCCTACAAATCACGATTTACCGCATTTTCCATCAGAACTATAAACAAATTATTTGCTTCAAAAACTTCATCATTCTAGAAAAGACTTTTCCATTGAATTTTTCGTAAAAATCATTTGTTCGCTGAGGTATCAATGATTCGCTTCACTCAGGATTAGCTGGATACAGCATCCACCCGCCAGAAGCCAGGGTGCTATTCTCTAATAAATGGTCCATCATTTTATTTGAATGTGCCTTCAAGTTCGTAATTCTGATGTTTCATTTCTTAAACATACACACACCCCAATTGCTTTAAACTGACAAAACTCATCCTAATACAATTTTTCCCATGAAATCATTTCCAGCCAATTGTCAAATACGCCGGATTCGCTAGAAAGTACCAGAACTTTTCGACATATTTAGATGAATTGTCCCCCTTTTATAAAAAGGTTTACTGGTTCCTGAAATCCGAGGACTTTCCTTTAATGTTCGTCCGTATAA